GCAGCTGGAGATGAGGCCGCAGCCGGTCCCGTTCCCCTTGTCTCCTCTTCACTTCCCACACAGCAGCGTCTCTGAGGCTGGAATCAATGGCCCAAACTGGCCAGTCCAGGCTAGGCCTCCTCAGCCAAACGCCTCTCGGGAGAATCAGATCCGCCCAGCCTGGGAATTCAGTGACCGAAGCCACTCTGGAAGGTACCCATCATCCGGAAGAGCCTTGTGGACAAAGGACAGGAAATGACTTTCTTACCTGGTGCCCCGAAACGTTCCCCATCTGATCTGTCATTGATTAAACCTGAGCACCTCTCCCCATTTTATGGGCCATGGTGGGGCCAGGTCTGGCTCCAGACAGCCTGTCTTTCTCCACCCCAGGCTGACATGCCGCATCTGTGTCTCTGCCCTGCCCAAAGGTCACCCAGAAACAGCAAATTTCCCCCTCCTGCCAAGATGGTATTCAGGCTATGCCATCATTGACCACCATGCTGGGTAAATGCAGTTTCCCAGGCCTCTGTTTCAGAGAGTTTGAGTTGCATGTCTGGGGTGGAGCCCAGGAAGTAGCATTTTAATTGTCACCCCAGACATTCTTGATGTTAGTGATCAGTGGGCCACACTTTAGAAATAGAATCAGTCCTGATCACATTGAAATCTTGTGTGTGAGAACCTACAGGTGTCAGTTGTGTACACATGTGTTCCTGAATTGTGATGACATTTCAAGAGACGCTCGTTCCCTCTGTGCTTTCCTGTAGTATTATAATTTATTATAATGTGCATGTAATTTCTAATAAGCAGGTACAATACTACAGCTTTGTGCAAGGCAGGGAAGAACAGAACTATTACAGAAGAAATACTGTACAGGAAGTAGGTTTGGAGAAATGTGGACATACAGACAAAAGGCCACAAGTATACATGAATCAACTTCAACTCCCAGAGCCGGTGCCTGCCTCTCCATACTCCCCCGCCTGAGCCCGCCCTTGGGGGCTTGCAGAGGGAGAAATAGCCCACTTCCTATTTTCAAATGCTCTCTTCTTGGCGAAGCCAGAGCTGAAGTGGCACCTGGGAGTCTGGCCGGGTGGCGTCAAGCCAGAAAGCAGGCCTCCCTCCTTTCAGCCCCTGTCCCTGGACCCTGGGCCTGGTGTGCTCCCCCTCTGTGCCCCACCAGCTCTCTGACACCGTGGCTGGCCAGGCAGAGCCAGGATGGTGATTTTACAACATGGTTATTAATCTATTGCTGCCCAGTAAACCCACCCTGGCCTCGCAAATACTCCCCGAGAAGGCCAGACCCATCCAGAGAAAGGGTTTCCTACACCTTTACAACGTGATGGGAAAAAAGGGGCCGTTGGATTTATGGAAACTATATAAAGTTTATGGAGTCTTGGCAGGCCAGAGGAGGACCGTCTGCAGGGTGGGGGCGGGTATTCTAAAACAGAGAAGGCCACGCCAGAGCTGTGGCCCTCTGTGTCCAGACACCAGACGCCGCCCCGTGACCCAGGTGCACTGTGTGACCCTGGGGGCCAGGAACCCGGCTGGGGGAGCAGCTGCTGAGGATGCTTTTGGGGACGATCTCGGGGAATCTCTGTAACTTTGCTGTGAGAGAGGCATGGCTGTCCTCATTCTGTTGGGGAAACCGAGGCAAAGGTACTTTGGAAGGCGTGAGCTTGCCCAAGGTTGCAGCGTGAGCGGGATGTGGATGTTCCAGGGCAGCCTGGGGCTCTCATGGTGCCTCTCTCCGGCACACTGAGCGATGCGTCCCTTTTTAGGTCTGGAAATTGAGTCTTTGTAGTTGCAGTCTGAGCCTGCTCTGCTGTGTGTGATTTGCTCTCATGGCCCCCAGAGAGCCCCCAGTCATCACCTATGCATCGGGGCTGATGTGTGGGTGGGTTTGCCCAGCGGTGTTGGCTGGGCTAGAAGTGAAGCCAGCCAGAGGCTGGTGCTGAGTCACGGCAGGTTCGAACACACGGTCTCTGCGTTCTGGACCCCCAATGCCTCCATCTCCTGTGGATCCTCTTAGGGCCCTGGAAGTGCCGCAGGCCCCTCCTCCTGTCCGCAGCACCTTCGGCACTTCCAGTCCATTTCTCCTTGCGTGTGTGCCCTGCAGCATCTATGTGTTCTCTCTCCTGCTTGGCTGTGAATTCTTGGAGTGCAGATTCCATGAATGCTTAATTCTTCATTACTGATTTTGCCTACAGAGCCTGGCATAGTTCCCAGCATATAATAGTCACTGCATAAATATTAGCTGGAGGGATGGATGGATGGATGGATAAACGGACGGATGGATAGATGGATAAACAGATGGGTGGACAAGGGCGTGGACAGAAGAATGGGTGGGTGATGGGTGGATGAATGCTTGGGTGGGTCAGGTGTGTGTAGACCATCAGACATGCCCCTCCACATTCACACCCTTGAGTGCAGTTAAGGCAGCAGTCTGACCAGGTTCTCACAGGCTTTTACTAAATGCACTTCTGTTGCAGGGTGTATACTTTGCTGTCTCTGAGGCCAGATGGAGAAACCAGCCTACGTGTTTGAATGTGTGTGTAAATACTTTACAGTCCCCATAAACTTGCTTAAAGACGGGTGGGGGTGCAAGTATAAACTGGGGCAGCCTTTGGGGAGGGCAGTTTGGAAGTAGCTATTAAAATTTTAAATGTGCCTACCACTAAGACCCAGCAGTTCCACTCTGAGCTGTGAAGGGTAAGAAATGCATTCATGTTTTCTGCACAGAGAGCCAAGGGCCAGGGTGCTCGCGGGAGGGTGGCTGCTGCCGTGTCACTTGTAACGGTGAAAAGTCACACACAGCCTTTGCATCCACCAAGTGGGGGTGGTGACCCCAGACCCTGGAAGACACCGCAGTTGCCAGCGAGAATGAGGTAGATCCATCACTGCAGAGATGGGAAGATCTCAGGTGGGGACCAGGCTTCCGGAAGTCTGAGCCTGTGACTCGTGGGTCGGCACACGGCCCTCCTGCTACCTCCCAGCCCTGCCACCTTCTCGCCGTTCCTCTCTCCCCTTGCTCCCCACAAGGCAGTTTACTGAAATTAGATCTTTAACTCTTACATCTACTTGCCAGTGAGTGACCTTCCCTTTCAGAAAAGGAGAAAAATGAGAGAACAGCAGTTACGTGCACAATTACTGTCTGCCGACTTTTCAGTTAAAAAGATTGAAAGGCATAATATTAAAATGTGATTTACGCAGGCCAAGAAGAGAAAGCACTCTAGTTATGGAAAACTGTAGCTTTTTTCCCCTGCAGGAGATAAATTGGCTCTCACTCTCTTATTGCTAAAGAAGTGTGAAATGGCTTCGGGCCTCTGTGATATGTTCTTCCCGAATGTTAAAATCCAGACGGCATTGATTTGGGAGTCCTCTGACTCAGGCATTTCAGGGAAGCTTCCTGAGAGGTGTGGCAGCTCGAGGCCCTGGGCACCGTGACCTGTGCAGGGAGGAGGTCCAGGTCCCCGAGGGCCTTGAGACAGCTCCAGGCAGCGTGCTCGGAGGGGAGGGGTAGAAGCTACGCAGCCAGCGTCCCTGCTTGGCTGCGTATCGCTCTTCTCTCCGCACTTTCTTCATCTGAACAATACAGATGATAACCCTGCCCTGCCGAGTGCACAACCTCGGGCCAGTATGACATCTCCCGGGGCCTCAGTTGGCTGAGGGTTACCCGTCGCTGTGTCTGCCTCGGGTCACAGTGTAGATCACCTTCAGTAATGCATGGGCAAGGCCGAGCTTGGCTCCGGCCACACAGCGAGTGCTCCTGCCTCTTGCTAAACGCGCAAGTATTCCTGCCTGCCACAGACACCTTGGCCGTGATCAGGAGAGCTGGTGTTCAAACCCAGGCCTTCCATTTCCAGGGCGCCTGCGGATGTGGGAGCCCAGACCTGAGGGTGGCCCAGCTCCACCTCCCTGCAGCCGCCTGTGTCCTCTCAGCCGTTTTGCTCGCCTGTAGAGTAAGAGTTTCCGCTTGGCAGGGCTGTGGTAAGGTTTACAGATTCATAGACACAAACAGCCTCTTGCAGAGCAGAATGGGCTCCAGGGATGCAGTGGGGAAATGAAAGGAAAAAAGATTAAGGCCCTATATGTACATGTACCAACTCCCCCGCAATGAGTGTATTCACTATGTATCTCAAGCATGTTCTAATAAAAAAAGAAATTAAAAACAAAAGAAATAGCCTCAAATGGAGTTGGTGGATGGCAGGGGCCCTGCACAGTGAAAGCTCTTGGCTAAGGAGCCCTTTTGGGCAACGCTGGCCCCTGGACAAAGGGATCTTGGTTTACTATGTCCCCCCATTATGTCCTGGTTTATTAATTATGTCACCATGGCTCCACAGCAGGTGCCTGTAGAACTCTCCCTTCCTGGAAGATGCAAAGACTTACATGGCTCTACAAGATTAGCTACCCAGGAGGGATAAAATAGCCATTGTGCCGGGGACTGTGCTGTGCCTGGTGTGTGGGGTCCCCATGCTCAGCATGCAGATGGGACAGTGTGGGAGGCTGGCCTGAGGTGTCAGATTCGCTCTACCACGCGCGGCTCCTCTGAGAGCGCCACCATAATTCCCAATCCTTGGCCTCATCCCAGCCTGCCTCCCCACTCAGGGGAGCCTGCCCAGGTCCTGAGACCTTTCTTAACCACTAGGCAGCTACTGAGCCCTGCTGCCTGAACGCTCCCTGTGTGTGTGCGCGCACGCGCACGTGTGTTCATGCTCACACACCCGTAGGTTATGCAGGAGCTCTGGGCCTCTGCTAGGAAATGGGTTCAGGGTGCTGCAGGAGGCCTGGCCTGCCCCCTTCTGGGAAGGGCTCTGTGTTCTCACCCAGAACCCCCAGGGCTCTGTCTGACATCTACACAGCATCTCCCTGGGAAAGGGAGGGCTGGATTTTTTTGTTTTTTGTTTTTTGTTTTTTTTGTACTGGGGATTGAACTCGGGACCTTGCGCTTGGGAGGCAGGTGTCAGAGGACGGGATTTTATGTATACAACATCAGCTAACAGCTAACGACATTTCTTTGTTTTCAGTTGAGAGGGAAAATGTTCAGAAGAGGACTTTTACTCGATGGATAAATCTACATCTTGAAAAGGTAAGTGATGATTTGGGGATGAGTTAAGTGATACGTGTCTGTAACTGAGTCTAGAGCTCCTAGGATAGTGTGGAGGAGGTGGCTGTTTTGTTTTGGTTTTTGGTTTTTTGAGAAAAGATTTCACTGTGTAGTTCAGGCTGAACTCACTGTGTGGCTCAGGCTGGCTCAAACTCACAGTGATCCTCCTGCCTCAGCCTCCTGAGTGCTGGGACTACAGGTGGCTCTCTGGTTTTTGTTGGCATCGTCAGTTTAGCATTTCTGTACACCTTACTGCTGCTCCCATGTAGTACACTGCTCTCTGCCCTCCTGCGGTCATCAGCAAAGTTGAGGAAGGGGAGCTTCTTTCTTTAGGCAGGGACGCACAAGCAGATAGCGGAAGACATTGATGCTGAACAGCCCCACACTTCATAGATGAAAGATGGTCACTCTGCACCCCAAACCAGTCCCGGCACATCCTGGAGTCCCTAGCAGGCTCTGTTAAGAGGCACCTGTGCCACTGGACTGCTTTACACGAGAGCTCTGAACGTCTCTCGGCCAAACCAGATCCCCGTCCATCGAGTAACACCGCTGTTGATGGTAATAGTACCTGCCAGGGCTCCTTCCATCCCAGATGGTCCGAATTGCCCCTGTGCATTTAACTCATCGGCTCCTCTCTTCCCGTTTGTTTACTTGCTGTGTTTTGTGGCTGTGCCGTTTTGAGTTGCATTTTGTCTACAGGCTGCTCTTGCACACACCATACAAAAGGAGCAGCTGCAGAGGAGAGCAGAGCAGTGCCGAGCGGAGAGGAGAAGCAGCTCCGAGAGGGAGGACGGAGTGCAGCAGCAGAAACTGAAACCCTCCTCCCTGGGAAGGCTGGGCCCCAGGGCTGTGAGGACTCGGAAGTACCTGGGCTGTAGGACAAGAGGTGGATTTTCTCTTTGTGAGAAAGCTGCTTTATCAGGATTCATTTCACCACCTTTGCCTCTTCTTCCTCCTTGAGCACCTCCAGCTACACCAGCCAGCATCTCACTCCTTGTAGAAGCTGGTTACACCTCACTTTAGGGGTTTCCCGTATGTTTCTGTTCTCCTTTCTTTGGTACCGGGGATCAAACTCTGGACCTTGTGCTTTCTAGGCAGGCGCCAGAATCACTGAGCTAAATCCCCGGTCCCTCTGTTCTCCTTTTAAAATGTTAAGAGTTACTATTGGCTGCTCTTAGAGGAAATCATTGCAATCATTAGAAAGCAGAGAAAATAAATGGGATTTTTGGAAGAGGAGCTCTTGACCGAAATTCTGATTCACACAGTTCACCCTCAGGCTGGTGTATTTCCCAAGCAGGCACCTGACCCTCTGCCCACTGTGCCCCCTGCAGAATGGGTTAGCATGACGCTGTTTCGTAACCCACCAGTGTGTTGACCTCTTCAGATGAACAAAAGTACTCACAGTGCTTGAAGCATTGTCAATCATTTACCAGTTGGTTTGACTATTGGTACATTTTTGACTTTGCTCATAAAGTGAAGTGTTATTTTGGGGGGGAAAAAGAGGAGGGGGGAATCCAGTCCCTAAACTCAAGTTCACTGAAGTCTTAAATTAATGCCTGATGTATGTCAGGGTGGTTGGAAATTCCTACTGGGGAAATCAAGTAGAGCTGTGAAGCATTTCTTTCTTTCTTTTTTTAATTAAAAAAATAAATACAGAAAAGAACAGAGGGTCATATAGCAAATCCCCCACACTCACTCACCACCCAAAGTGAACCTCGGTTAGCATTTATCATTGCAAGGGTTTTCTCCTTGCCAAACTGCTGCCCCTTTCCCAGGGCAGGTGGGCAGCGCCAGCTCCAAAGATAAATCAGATAACACCTGGAGCTGCTGCGTAATAAACAGGGCCAAATTAACAGCCATGTTTCCAAGCCTGAAACTTTCAAGAACAGCCTTTCATGGGAAGGAAACCCAGGAACTCCTTGGTGAATTGGGCTTAACTGCAATTTGAAGGCTGTCAGGAATATTTACTGAGTCTCTGGGCTTCTGGAAAAATTCCCTAATTTACTGAAGGAGTTCGATCATGCAGAAAGCCCTGGGGGAGCTGTTGCTCGAGCCATACCGATCCCCTGAACGCTCAGCCAGAGTGTTTTGGCTGGAGCGGTTTCAATCCCTCCCCCGCTCCCGCCGCGTCCAGTGAGATGGCCCCTGGCCAGGCCCTGTGGAAGCCGTGTAGCTCCTGCAGGAATGGCCAATGAAAACCATACTTCAGGTCTGAGTCCAGAGCCAGGCCGGCCACGGTCGGGGTGGTAACGGGAAATTTTGTTAGTCCATTTATCAGGGGTATTTTGTCAGGGTCTCTCATTTTCTGCCTCGCATTAACGGGAATAACATTTCCGTAAGAGCCTGGTAACCCGATGCCTATGCCGCTGTGCTGTTCGCTGGGGTGGAATGTGCCCCAGGAGCTGCAGGAGTTTGCAAAGAAAATAGTTTGTCTTTTGGTTCAAAGACATTGCTGCCCTTGAAGCAAAGCCCTTTTCTGTGCACCTGTGGGTATAATCGCCCTGTATTTTGACTAACTGGGGGCACAGGGACTCGTATAAAGTGTAAGGAAACGCCACCTTCCTTAATAAAAAATAAAACACAGGCCCACCGAGGCTTCCCTGGGACAGAAGGAGGCTTTCCCAGAGGAAAAGGCAGCTGGATGCCAGGGCACTATGTTTCCAAGATTTTCCTCCTCCCTGGGTCTCTGGGTGGTTAGGGCTGCACAGCCCCAGGGACACTGCACCCCATCAGTCCTGTCTTCTGTGTGAATGCCCAGTCTTCCACTGCCCCAGGAGCAGATAGAGCATCCAGACCAGCTGCTCTAAGCCAGCCAAAGCCCCAGATCCAAAAAGTAGAGGGGGACTTTGCTCAGCATGGGAGTTCATGAAGAGTGCAATGTCTGGGTCCTGCTCTCCAGGGTTCAGTTGAGCCCCAACCATGCTGCGTGAGGGGAGTGATGATCAGGCAGGTATGGTCTGCAGAGCCTGGGGTGGGTTGGTGGGGAGGAAGCCCGCCAGTGCCCAAAGGCCAGAGTGTAACTGTCTCCCAGCCACACCATCGAACTGAGGATCTGGGTGCAACCGTGGTCAGCCAGTGTGGCCTGATACAGGAGGTGGCACTCTTCCAAAAAGCTACCTGACCAAGTGCTGGAGCCATCACCCAGCTTCTTTGAGACTCAGTTTCCCCAAATCTGAAGTGAAGGACTCACACTAGATAATTTCCTGTGAGCCCTAATGGAGTTATTTTATCCTGTGGAAGGCTATCAGGATATACCATTTCTTTCTATCCTTCAGCAAAAACTTGGATGTGATCTAGTCTTGGGGTCTGAAATCTCAAGGTCACTTACTCAGTTATCCCCCTGTGGCTGAATCTTTTGCACAACTCTCCTGCCAAGCGTCCATGTCCCTGCTGCCACTTGTCACATCCGGAAGATGGGCTTCCTGCCTCCCCTGAGGGGATGCCTGGAAGTTTCCTCTTTCACTGAAAGCAAATCTCTGACAGTTTGGGGGATTACACAGGGCACTTGTCAGCTCCTTTCTTTCCTCCTCTTCCACAGTGTGATCCACCTCTAGAAGTTACAGACCTCTTCGTTGATATACAAGATGGCAAAATCCTCATGGCTTTGTTAGAAGTCCTGTCCGGGCGGAATCTGGTATGTATATCACAGCAGGATTGGGAAGAAATAAAATGCAAAGGAAATCACTGCTGCAGGTGTCTTAGCTTTCTGTCTCTGACAAAATACCTGAGATAGACAACTCAAGGAAGAAAGGTTTATTTTGACTCCTACTTGCAGACATTGCAGTCCATGGCTGCTGGGCCCTGGGCCTTTGGGCTGTGACAAGTCAGATCATCATGCAGACAGCATGTAGCAATGTCACTGCTCACCTCATGGGGCCAGGAAGTAAAATGAGAGAGAGAGGAGAGGTCAGGTCCCCAATATACCCTTCAGGGTCACACCCCAGTGACGTCACTTCCTTCTCATAGGCTCCACCTCCTGAGGGTTCTGCTACCTCCTAATCCTCCCATAGGCTGGCAACCAGGCCTGTAGCCTATGGGCCTCAGGGACCATTTAAGACCAATACCATAAGAGTAGACATATATGTACACTCACACACATAGACATGATCCTGTCACGAGAACCACTGAAGGGTGACACTCCTTTATCAGTGACTCAGTGTGATAGAAACACGTAACTAAGCAGTATCTTCTTAAAAAGCAAATATATTTTGGTGAGTAAGAAAACAAATGCCCAATGTCTTTGGTGTGCCTGTGACGGGTAAAAATTGAAACTAGAAAATTAAAAGTTTAGCTAGCCTATCATTATATTAACTGTAATGATAGCTAAGGATCAGAAAGACTAAAGACAAAGGACTCTCTGCAACCAGATTCTGTTATCTGACCTGAGACCAGCTTGTCAGTAGTTGGCTTCTGGAATGTTCCTTTAGGTTTCAATGAAGTTGAATTACACCAGCTGGTGTTGACATTTGCTCCACTTTGGATGTGAGCCAAACCTCACAGTGATGCATATGTCTGCTACATGCAGATTGGTCCTTTTCTCCTCAGAGTCTGTGGTGGCACTGTTGACATTTTGGGTCAGATAGTTCTTTGCTGTGGGGAATTGTCCTGTGCATTGCAGGACCACGAACTGCTATTAGCTCCCTTCGGTGTGAATGTCCCACACATGGCCACACATTCCCTGAGGGGACAAAATGGTCCCACCCCAAATGCCAGTGGTGTCGAGGTTGAGAATCCTACTCTAGACTGAGGGTGTGGTTTGGGCTCAGTGACCCATCATGCCTGTACCGGTGCAGTACAGCTCCCACCATCGCCAGGCGGTAGCTCAGCCATGGCCTCTTCTGACCTGTTTTCAGCCGTTGAACCTCGAGAGCCCCACTTCTGTTCTCAGATCTGGTGTAGCCAGCTCTGATCTGATCGCTCCTCTCACCCTTCCTGCCATAGCTGTTAGCTACCCCAGGAAGGAGCTGCATAAATTGGGTGAGGAATTCTAGCGAAGGGTGAAACCATTGGCTCAGTAGAATAGCACTGGGTTTCTTAGCAGGTCAGAAAGAGCTAGCAGTTTGGTCCCCAAAAAGCTTCCTGAAAAAAGTATGACCCATTCCCTTGTTTTGTGCCCAGCAACTCAGGGTCCCTGCTTTGTTGCCAGAGCACTAGGGTGGCAGCCTACGTGCTCTTGGTGAGCATATGCTGGGAGCCCAGCCAAGAACAGGCCTCCACTTCCCTGCCAGCCCAGCCCTTCCCAGAGGAGCCTGACGGACTTCCCTGCAGGGGGAGTTTACTCCAGGGGCTCGAGTGTGTGTGTAGAGCTGACATTGTCAGAAGCTTCACTTCCTCAGCCCCTACCCCCTCGACCTGAGATAACTGTCCACAGAGCCCTTGGCCAGAACCCGAAACATCTGCTGCCGCAGGAGAGGGCCCAGATGATTTAGGAGCTGAGCCGGGATGAGGATAGGGAATGCTCGAAGCACTAACAAAAGCATCAGGCCAGCAAGGAGAGCAGGTCTCTGGAGAATGGCGTCTAACAAGCCAGGAGCTGGGCTGGAGTAAGAAATGGGACAAATTTGTCCCTTGGTAACCCATTTGGGTCCCTCCCCCATGCCCTAAGGCAGAGAGTTAAGTCCCAGGTACTGTAAATAAGGCAGACCTCCAAGGGCTCCTGATGTCACAGGCGCACGCACTGAGCTGCACGTGCACGGGTTTGGTTGGAGGCCAAGTGGGTTTTAGCCATGAGCCTCTAACTCTGTCCAGAAATTGATGTGAAAGAGATGAAGCAGAAGGACCTCGAGGCCTGCGGCACCCTGGGGCATTCCGAAGGGGCTGCGTGGGCTCAGCCGGCTGGTCTTGTTCTGTTGTTTTACAGCTGCATGAGTACAAATCCTCCTCGCATCGGATTTTTCGGTTGAACAACATAGCGAAAGCACTTTCTTTCCTGGAAGATAGCAACGTGAGTGTTTGAAATACATCTAACGAGCTAGTCTGGGAGGAGGAGGACTGGTTCAGGGTGAAGCGTGGGAAGGGCACCTAGCCAAATGGTCAAACTAACCTAGGCTTAAATGGACCGGAAATGGCTCAGAATCCGCCCATTAGGGAGAAGCCCCTCAATCCGCACCCTCCCCATACCAATCGGGGTCAGGGCTCCAGCCATGGTCAGTCCTGGAGGGGCCGGAGGTGCTAACTAGATCTTTGGAATGAGTTGACTTCCTCTTTTTGGGTCTTGGAGCAAGAGTGAAGTGGGGTGTAGGGTGTAAAGCTTTCTCTTGGGACTTAGAGAGGACATGAGCTTGATGTGCCAGGAGCCTCTGCAGTGCCCTCCCCTAGACAGGGCTGCCTAGGCTTTGCCGCTTTCTCTTCCATGTTTGGAACTCTGCTTTGTGTCCTTCCCGGGTGGCAGGAAGCAGCCCTGGGTGAAATTCCCAACCTCCTCTTCTTTAGACTCAGCAGTGCATCTGGGCTAAAGTCTTGCGCTCACCTGATGCTTCTGCATGTGCAGTAAAGCTTTTTCCTGAAGTGTGAGTCATTCAGGGTTCTTCATGGTGACGGAAGCAGACTGGCTGATTTCAGCAGAAAAGGAATTTGTTAAAGGGACACCAAGTAGCTCATGGATGACCTGAGAATCCGAGGACAGAACCCAGGGGTGCACTGTTCTTTGTAGCCAAAAAGTAGAAACAAACTAGAAGCTCATCCGCCAACCAGTGGCTCAAGAAAATGTGGTCTCTCCAGACCATGGAATATTACCTGGCCTTTAAAAAGGTGGACACTGATACATGCTACATCACAGATGAACCGTGAAGATCCTCTGCTAAGTGAAGAAAGACTGATGCACAGAACCACTGATTTCCGGGCATGGTGGTACACGCCTGTAATCCCAGCACTTGGGAGGCTGAGGTGGAGGATCACTTGGAATTCAAGGCCACCTTGGGCTACATAGTGAGTTCAAGGTGAGCCTGGACTACATAGCAAGAGGCTGTCTCAAAAACAAACAAGCAAAAAACCCACTTAAGGTGTGGTTCCACCCATGTGAAGTGCCCAGGGGCCTCAGTGTAGACACTGCCTTGGGGACAGTGCTACTCAGGACACAGAGGGGCAGCGAACTGAGTGCTGTTGATGGAGTGGGCAGGCGGTGGGAGCCTGAGCAGAGGGGGCCCCACCTGTGCAGCACTGGCTCGGGCTGAAGATGGCTCCGCTCCAGCTCTCTGGGTGGCGGAGGCCTCCTGAACCTCTGCTTAGACGGGACTGCAGAGGCAGGCATGGAAGCTGGAGCCGCCGTGCTCTCAGCACTGGGCTGTCCACGCTCCAGCAGAGGCTGTGGGTGTCACTGCCGCTCCAGAAAGGACCCCTTTCAGTGCACACGGGGAATGCTCTCTTTTCAGCAGTCTCACTGAGACATAATTGATGTTCTGTTCAGTTTGCCCATCAGTGGTTTTTAGTGTCTGCACAGACAGGTGTGGGCCCCCTGCAGTCGATCCTAGGACATTTTCATCACCTCTGAAAGAAGCCTGTACCTCGGGCCCGCATACTTTGTCCCACTGTCTTCCTCAGCACTGAGCTACCGCTCATCTACTTTCTGTCTCCAGAAATTTCCATTTCCCTGTTTCCAGAGAGGGCAAGGGGACAGCCTTGAGGACAGCATGGAGTCTTCAAGCAACTTCGTGGGGACTCCTTGCCCATCCTTCCTCCACAGCTGGCTTCGAAGCACTCCTGCTCTATGGCCGCCGTGCTGTACAGGTGGCGGGTGGACTGTCTCTCGCATGCATCACAAGCACCCAGGTGGTTGAGGCTTGTGTTCAGCAGCCATCCGGGTCACCTTACAGGCATCTTCCATGGGCCTGGGGCTGTGCCCAGCATAGGGGACAATCAGATGCCTTAGGAACACATCCAGGCCTTCAAGGTGCTTAGGCAATGACCTCACACGGACAGCGTGCTGCTCATGCATCCTCCAGGCCAGGAAGATGATCCTGCAGTGGCGAGAACCCACGCCTGGGCCCGGCAGGCTGGGGTGGGAGGGTGCTTCGCATGGGGACGAGCCTGCACAGGAGTATGACAAGGAGGAGCAGGGCCAGGGCTTCTGTCATCCAGGCACAGACCTTTCCCAAACTGTCTGCCGTGGACTGTGAACAGTGCTTCTCTCCCTTTGTTTGGTATTTAAGAATCTGGAAATACCCCAAGGGCGGGTACTTGTCAGCCTCGGGCCTCCTGTTGCCCGGTGTGCCAGGCAGGAAGGACACGCTGAGCCCACGGGAGGGAGACGGAAACAGGCCTTCATGGTGCCATCTTCTCTGTCCCAGCCACAGAACCCACAAAAGGCTTGGGAGCCCTCATTGGTGTCTTCTTGTCTGGCTGTCCCAGGCCTCGGTGGCTCTGCTGGGCAAGAGCACCCCAGACTTGGTGATGGGCCTCCGTGCTGCAGGTGTCAGGGCTGCCTGGGAGCCCCTCCTCTGCCCACAAGTGACACCATGGCGGCTGCCCCACAGGGTAGCAAGCCATGGCTCCCTCATCTATAAAATGGGCACATGGCGGGTTTAAATGATGGATGGCAGGCGGCAGATGCTCCCCAGGGGAACCTTTATGCTGAAGACCTCTCAGTTACCACCCAGAGGGGAGACAGACTCATCTCACAAACCAGTTGGTCCATAAGTTTCCAGCTGCAGAACCAGCTGAGTTAGGAGGAGGTCAAAGATGGTTTCCATGAAGCTCTCGACTTAAGTCTGGCTGTTAAAGTGCCAGCACACCACTGAAAAGGAAAAGTGATCAGGCCCCCAGGGCTTGGGCCTCCTGCTCCACACCTTCCCTCAGCCCAGCAATGGGGCTTCCTTCTGTAAGTGGCTGCTGCCCGCTCAGCCCTCCCCTTTCCCTCTCGAGATGGGCACTGTGATGTCCAAGGGATCCTCACCCGGCAGCTCTGGAACCTCAGCTCAGGGCTGTGGCTGTCCCTTGTCATTTGGGCTTCCTCCTCATGGAGTGAAGACAAGGATGATGGCGATAACTAGCTGCTTTGATCCCTGGGCTGGAATGTGTTCCATAAGCCACAGAAACAGGCAGCTATCAGAGACGGGGTTTCGCAAGTGATTCGTCATGTGGGACGTGTGCTTGTGACGCATGTGGATGGTGTACTGGACCTGAATTTGATCAGCTGTGTAGTTCACAACATTGACAACTTCCTTCCTGCCCTCCCATCTGCCAGTGATGACCCTGTGTTGTCTGAATTATATTCTTGGCATCAGCTCCCAAAACAGACTTCATCCAGGGAGCTTGGATGTCTCCCTCGATTAGGTAAGCCCAGTCTCATGATTGGTGCTGTCGGAAACCCGGGACACACTGATGGGATCAGAGACCCGAGTCAAACAATTCAGAAAGCCAGGATGGAAAGGCAGAGGGAAGAAGTGAAGAAGAAAGAAAAGATTTCGGATGAAATGTTCTTTTCGTTTTTTTCTTCCCTGAGTGTCCCAGGCTGAATTTTGTGGTGTGGATTTCAAAGTTTGTTGGGTGGGACTTACCTGGCTTCGCCTCCATCCCCTTCAAGAGTGGTTTGTTCACTTAGGCAGGGTTGTTCAACAAGAAGAGGTGCCCGAGACCCAGGTGGCCTGCAAAGCCTTCCTTGCGCTCTGGCCTTTTCCCTCCTTTCCAGGAAGGTTTGCAGAGCCCTGAGCCACTACTGAGATTTGTTTTCGGAGTGAAGTGATGACTTGGAGCAATAATCCTCTAACTCAGAGGGCCTGGGAACCAAGTTGTTAAGTGCAGATTGGGGGTGTGAGGGGGAATTTGCATTTCTGATCAACCCCAGGGGATGGTGCACTTGGCCTTAGGGATTTACCAAGGGCGGCACCCTACAGTGAACTGTTAAATAAGTGGGTAATTCCACAGGGTGTCCACAACAGGCACGGAATCTCAGGGTGTAAACCTCATCCCAGCTCACTCTTGCCCCTCAGTGGGCCGTGATGGCAGGTCCCAGCCTGTGTGTGTCCAGGGTGTGAAAATCTGCAGGTCTGACAGCCTTAATGCAGCACACAGATGGATGGCTGGGTACAACTGCTTCCTTGGAAGAGAACAACAGCAACCTCAGGAGCTACATAGTCCTGGGCGTGTTATATTTAACCTCTGGGAAATGTCCTCCCGAGCTTGAGGGATAATAGAAATACCCTCGTTATAGGCATGTGGTGAGGTTAAACTGACTTAATACTTGCAAGAGTTGAGCATAGTGTCTGCTCATGGTCAGCACAGTGTACATGTTTATTCAATGCACATTGGCACACTGGGTGTCCCTGAGAGGTGGCCTCGGGCAGTGTCAGGTGGCACAGGGTGGGTGAGAGAAACAGGGTTATGAAAAGACCATTAAATGCAGAAAGTTCTTCTCCTCAGGTAAAACTGGTTAGCATCGATGCAGCAGAAATAGCGGACGGCAACCCCTCTCTGGTTCTCGGGCTGATATGGAACATCATCCTCTTCTTCCAGGTAAAATCGCTCCCCTTCCATCCTACAAAGTCACCATCTCGAGTCTGCTTATGACCAAAAGAACAGCATGTGTCCAGAGCAAGGGAGACAGGAGACTTAGTTCCTGCAGCTTGACTTCTCACTAAAAAGGAACTGAGAATAGAAAAAGTGTGGCTCATTATTTAATGATTCCCCCAAGAGTAGAGATGAGCCACTCAAGGAATATTTACGGGGACTTTTGACTCAGGCTTGCATGTCACAGAAGCATTGGCATGGTATGTGGAGATGCAGATCCTGTTCTGAGTAAGCATTGAAATTTTTTTTTTTTTAAAGCTGTCTTTATCTCCAGGCCTCTGTTTCCATGTCTGTGAAATGGGAGCCATGCCTCTCGAGTGTGATCACCAAGAAAAGCCATGTTCGAGAGCTCCTGTTTTATACAGGATTCAAGGAAGTTTTTGTCTGTTATCAAACTTCCTGAGAGATGCTAGAGACGTCTGAAAATCGGAGCCTTAAGTCTATCCCAGATCTTCCTTCATTCATTTAGTAGATTAGATGTCTGTTATTTTCTGCAGTTCCAGGTGCTGGTCATATACCACAGCCCTGTTCTAGTAGCCCTCTAGGATCACAGACAAATGGACATGAGGCACGACAGAAAGGAGAATTCCCTGGAGGAAGTGATCAGAGCTAAGGTTTGAAGGATGAATAGGAGTCTGCTAGACCACTCCTTTTTGTACTTACTGTGCATATGAATTACCTGGGAATGGTGTTGAAATGTAGATTCTGATTCTCTAGGTAGGTCTAGGGTTTGGGGTCTGCATTTCTCACAAGCATCCCTGTGATGGCAGAAAGGGCCATCCAGGTAGCTGGAGCAGGAGAAGCAGGGTCCGTGGGGCTTGAAGGATCATGGTGCACTCTGGGATTGATAGGCAAGGAGGCAAGAGGGGCAGGTTCAGTCAGTCAGAAAGACCTTCAGTGCTGAGGCTGGCCCACCTGCAGGTGGGGAGGAAACAGTGACCCCTGCAGGTGTAGCTACAGGCACCCAAGCCACATGCAGCGTCAGACAAGCTTCTCTCCATTGCGCATGACCTGGTCTCCCAGCCAGGGCTGCGTGGCCGCGGGTCGCATGGTGGAGCCGCTTGCTGGAGGCTGTGTGTGCTGCAGGGGTCTGACACACCGTCCTCCTTCCAGATTAAGGAGCTCACGGGCAACCTCAGCAGGAGCTCCCCATCCTCCAGCCTGTCACCCGGCTCGGGGGGCACAGACTCGGACTCCTCCTACCCACCCACGCCCACCACCGAGAGGAACGCGGCCATCGCGGTGAAAGACCAGAGGAAGGCCATCAAGACCCTGCTGGCCTGGGTGCAGAGGAAGACGAGGAAGTAAGCGGCCACCCCTCCCTCCGCACCGTGCTCGGAAATGAGCGCCTTCGAGGCCGAGGGGGGAGCGGGCCTGGCCCTGGGCCGGGCGGAAAGGGGGCAACCACCCACCAGTCTCCATCACGTGTTTGCCCCATGCTCTGTGCAGACAAGCAGGACACACATGCGTGTGCACGCGCGCGCGCGCGCACACACACACACACAGGTGTGCGCAGACTTGAGAGGAATCAGAAGGGCTTTCATCACCGTCACGCCCCAAATGGGCGCGTCCCTTGGATTCTGAGAACATGCATGTTTATTATTAAGCCGCAAAACGCCTTTCAGAGTCTGAGCCTCTTTAAAAATAATAATAAAGGCTGTAACATACTTGCAGCCAAGGTGCCCTTCCCCAGACCCAGACAGGTGAACTGGACTGACGCCCGGCCTCCCGCGGCCCCCAGCCAGGGCAGGGTGCCAGGCCAGTGTGAGGAAGTCATGCCCACGCGGGTCGCAGGGCTCTCCAGCCTCACCTTGCTGCCTTCCAGGGTAGTCAGGAGATGATATAGTCTGCAGCGGCTTGCACCGGGCCAGCTCCCAGTAACACTTAACAAGAATGGGTCTCGTCTCTGCCGTGTTGGGAGAGAAGTGGATGAGGAATTGAGGCTTTAGGGCTCTAGTCAAGGCTTGAGTATGAAAGATTAGAGTTGATGAATGAGAACGACTGATACATGTTGGTTAAAAATAAATCAACCAGCGCCAGGTGTGGTGGCGCACACCTATAATCCCGGCTCTCAGGCAGCTGAGGCAGGAGGATCACTGAGTTTGAGGCCACCCGGGCTACAGTAAGTTCAAGGTCAGCCTGGAATACCTAGCAAGACGCAGTCTCAAACAACAACCAAAAAGAAACCAGTTGAGTGATGAGATTGTGTGACTAAGGTGCTGTCCCATGGGGTCCTAAAGCGAGTTAGTGCCTGGTGGAATTCTCTTTCTGAAAGAGTCCCTCGCTTTCAGAGTCATAATTTCATTTGTATTAATAATGATGGCAGCTGCCACTTAGTGAGTGGCTTCCGCATGCCACCTGCTCTGCACGCCAGGCTGACCCCAAGGGGGCCCAGCACATCCTCCCCCATGACGGCTCTCAGAAGCCAAATTCCTTTTTTACAGCAGAGGGGTTTGAGGCTCAGGGAGTGCACCTTGCCCAAGGCCACAGTGCCAGAAGTGCAGAGTGGGCAGCTGAGGGACAAGCTTGGGTCTCTGTCCAGTTCTGTTGCCACATTTCCAGTATTGCCTGCCAAGTGCAGGGTGTGCATTGCTCTGTATGTGGGACTCCAGGTCTGTTTTGCCTCTGTGGGGCCTGCACCCCCGTGTCCTTTGTTTGCAGATGGAAATCCCAGTGCTCAGTGTCGCTGTCCCTGTGCCAGGGTATCTGCACCTGATGAGGTTGGCAGTGCTGAGCCCCCTCCGGGAGCAGTGAGGCTGCTGCACACTGCCCTCTCATCTCAATCCCGTGTCCCAGCCTGCATTGTGGCTGCCACTGTGTTTTCCTCCAGGTATGGCGTGGCAGTGCAGGACTTTGCGGGCAGCTGGAGAAGCGGGCTGGCTTTCCTGGCTGTGGTCAAGGCCATTGACCCTAGCCTGGTGGACATGAAGCAGGCCCTGGAGGAGTCACCGAGGGAAAACCTAGAGAAGGCTTTTCGCATTGCACATGAGGCCCTGCACATCCCCAGGCTCCTGGAGCCGGAAGGTGTGGTGCTTCTCTTCCTTTCTTCCCTTTTAATCTTTGATTGCAGATCTCCCACCTGCCATCTCAAGTTGGAAAATGTAGAAAAATCTAGTGAAGAAATTCTTGTTTCCTGTATCCCAATATTTTTCTATTGCATTTAATTATACCTTTTACATAATTGGTATCACTCAGTGTAAATATAATTTTGTCTGTTTTAATTTAACATAGAAGTATTTTGCATATTGCTATAGGGCCCTTGTTACGTATTTTTCTCGGTGCATCATAGTCCCTCTACTAGGCTTACTGAAATTTACTCAGCTCTTCCATACCTGCTGGCCATTGAGGTTGTTTAAGGACTGACTTTTACCCTGGCACAGTGGCACCTGCCTGTAATCCTAGCTACTCAGTAGGCTGAGGCAGGAGGATCACTAATTCAAGCCTGGGCAACTTAGTGAGACCCTGTCTCAAAATAAAAAAGGGCTCGGGATGTAGCTCTGTGGTAGACTTTGGTCCCGAGTACCACAGGGCCCAGAAGGAGGGATGGAGGGAGGATCACTTTTGTCCACACTGCAGTGGACATCTTACTGCACACAGCTCAGCCTGCAGCTCAGATTACTCCCACAGGACTGGACAGAGGGAGAGAGGACCCATTTTTAAGAAGCTCCGGTTTCTCTGTGAGCTTGGTGAATTTGGGGCTCCCTGAAGCAGCATATGAGGTGCCCGGTGCACTCAACTTGCTGATGGAGCCGGCAGGGAGCTGGCTGCTCAGTGGAAGGGGCTCAGTTCCTTGGTCCATCAGCCAGCTGTGCAATGCCAGCCACGCGCCTTGCCCTCTCTGAGCCCAAGTTCTCTCGAGTGGAAAAGAAAAAGAAAAAACCCTAAATGCTTTGTGGGCCCCTTCACCACCAGGTGTCCCCTTGAAGAGCCGTGCTGTGTGTGTGTCCTGCTAATTCCTGTCTCTCTCCACAGACATCATGGTTGATGTGCCGGACGAGCAGTCCCTTGTGACCTACGTGGCACAGTTTCTAGAACGTTTTCCGGAGCTGGAAGCCGTATGTTCGCTTTCCTTGTCTTTCATTCACAAAGTGCACATTTCCATCGCTGGTCATCAGACACAGCGGGCTTGGGTTCTGTCAGTCTTCTCGGCCAGCAGCGACAATCCCAAGTTGATCTTGAGTTCCTTCCTTGCCTTGCCACATTTTCATTTCAGAATCACACTAGATATCCGCTAAGCTGAAAGTGGGTTGGAAAGATGGAGGGTCACATATCACACAGACCTCTTCCTATACCAAACTTTGTTCAGAGTGTATTACAACTCACTTTTGGGAACCCATTGAGGTCCCATGGCAATGACATCAATTCCTTCTGAGGATGGCACCCCCAGTGACCCCTCAACTTTGCACCCAGCTCCAACCTGCAGTTGTCCTCCCATCTCTCCTCCCCGCCTGGGCCCCAAGCCCTTGGAGGCAAACACAGCTGGTCCGTGGCAGAGAACATAGCGCTTCCCGGACAGGCGCAGAGAGGAACTGCTAATCCTTCTGGTTTTACCTGGGCTTGATGAGATCTGTGTTGCTATTTTCTCTAGTTTCAGTTCTCTGGTTTCGGTTGCTCTGAGGATAAGGTCAGTCTGCTGTCTCCCAGTGCCTGCAGCACGACCAAGATCATGCTTTGCTTTCCAGTCCTGCTCAGTGTGGGACCCTTAGCCAATGACAGGATTTGCTTCTGTGTTTGCAACCCTTCTGGATTCAGTCTCTCATGTCTGCCCACCGGTGTTTGGCTGCTTTTGCCCTGTCTGAGCTGTGTTCCCCACTGGTCCAGACTGGCTCATGGGGACACAGTGGCTGAGAATTTCTGCTCACTGAGAAAGGCTCTGTCTTCTCTGGAATCTACACTTTTAGATTTCTTTCACGCCCCCCCCCGCCCCGTTTTCAGTGCTGGGATCCAACCTAGCCTCTCACACATACTGCACAAGTGCTCAACCACACACTAGCCCAACACACTGAGATTTCCTTACATCCACAGCTTTTTCAAAGCATAGTGTTTTATATTTGTATTTATCTGGTATTTTCACACTTCAACAGGAACAGAACTGTTTGGTAACCAGTTACATCTTCACCAGAACACTTTGCTTTAGTTTTAAAGTGGCGTTTTCTGTTGGTGATTGTGTTCTGAGAGGGAATCTAGACCGCACTTAAAGGTTGACTTTATTTCCTGTCGCCGTGTGTTTCTCTGCAGGAAGAGTTCGTGGATCCAGATAAAGAAGTTCCCATCGAGTCCACTTTTGTCCGCATCCGAGAAACTCCTCCTGACCAGGAGAGCAAGGTCCTCCTCCTGACACAGAATGGAGAGCGAACCTATACCACGAACCATGAAACCAGCCACCCGCCCCCTGCCAAAGTCTTCGTCTGCGACCGGCCTGAGTGTAGCACATCCAGCAGCATGTCAGACAGCTCCGCCGAGTTCGTGCACCAGATCATCGACCAGATCCTCCAGGAGGGGCCGGGGAAGACCGGTGCCACCAGCGAGTCCACTCCCGAATCTTCCATCTTGTCCACCAGAAAGGACAGCCGCAGGTCCAGCCTTCTGCCCACCAAGAAAACTGTGCACTTTGAGGATGGCACCTACAAGGACACTTCCTATAGCCAGGAGCCTTTCTACAGCCCCGACTTTCGCTTTGAAGGGAGTCCGAGGGCAGTGAGGGAGCTACTGAGGCAGGGCAGGCATGCCTCAGTGGAGGAGGATGTCGAAGAAAGGAAACTGGAAGAGGCAGCCTCGCTGGTCCCAGAAGCGGGCTCCGGTGAGGTCTCTAGGGCCGATGGCACAATGGGTCACACACAGCCACCCCAGGATTCTTCCTCCTTTAATGGCTCCTTAGAGGCTCCAGCCAGCCACAGTGAAGAAAGTCCTTCTCTCCCGCCCTTTGGGGTAAAGACTGTCCTGGCCGATTCTGTAAAGATCGAGGTTGAGCTGCAGACTGCAGAAGCTATGCAGAAAGACTTTCTGGAAGATGTCCCATCACAAGCCGTGATCAGCAGCATGGTAGATTTGGCTTCCACCAGCCAGGCTTTGGGTGAGGCTCCTTCTGGTGAGAAGGCAGCTGGCGAGGAGGAGGAGGCCTCTAGGAACTGTGCCCAGGAGCCACCAGTGAGGTGTGACAGACACAAGCCCCCCACAGGCTCAGGACGAGACTCTCCAGGCTACTCTGTGTCCCCCGGAGAGACAGCTGTGGATAAAAAGCCAGAGACACCTGTGCATGAAAAAGCCAAGAGGAAGTCCCCCCGGCATTGCAGTGAGGATGAGGAAGAAGCCGATGGTCCCCCAGGGCTTGGTGAAGAACTGTCCTCCAACTCCCTAAGGGGCAGCATCAGCTTGGAGACCCTCAGCAGCCCCAGTGAGGAAGGCCTGGATTTCAAGCCCTCGCCTCCCCTCTCCAAGATTTCCGTCATTCCCCACGACCTCTTCTATTACCCGCACTACGAGGTGCCCCTGGCTGCGGTTTTAGAGGCATATGCGGAGGGTAGGGAGGACGAGAGGAGTGTGGACTTGGAGCTGGAAGAGCCCATGGACTGTCTGCCCGACCTGGAGCCCAGTGAGGACAACGCCGAAGGCCCTTTGAGCAGCTGCAGCTTCTCAGGCCCGGGCCAGGGTCTCCCCAGCGCCAGCAACCAGGTGCTGCCTCCCAGCAGGCACACTGTGGTGGCCACACCAGCCTCAGGACCCGCTCCCCCAGCCCTGAGTGGGGACCAGCAGCCACGGGAGGCCAAGGAGAGCAACCCTGTTGGGAGCCATCAGGTACTGGATCAGGGTTCGGATCCCTGGGACCTGCGGGGGGATTCTATGCTTCATCTCTCCTTCCACAGGATTGGGGTGTGGAGCGGCCCCATGGTGCACAGAGGGCCTTCTGTGAGGCCCAGGCAGGGCCACCTGAGGGGCCCCCCCTGAAATTTTGCCCCCGGGCACCTCACTGGCCTTACCCCAGTCCCGGCCCCACTCTGGGATGCTCAGAGGGTCTCGAAGGGTAGGACCATGATCCTTTAGAGTCCGCAATGGTAGCCAGTATCTAGCACGCTCCTGAGCGGTCACACTCTTCTCCTGCGGCTGCTGGGGGACGGGGAGCATCCACATCGCACCCCAGCCACGACTCCTCAAGGCTTCCGGCACATGGAGCACTGATGTCTGCTCGTGCAACCTGGAGTGGGTGTGTAAAGAGGAAGGGGCGGCCTCGCTCTTGAACTCCAGCAGCTGGACACAAACCTGGGGGCCACTCCCGGTCCAGCGTCACTGGAGCCCAGGTTTGCAGGACCCCAGCCCAATACCGAGGGCCAGTGGGTGCCTTGGGAATAAGAGCTCCCCACTGCAACCTGAGGTCCAGGAAGACCCCAGGCCACACTGGCTCTGCCCCTGCTGGGATACGATGCAGATAGGGAGGCAGCCCGGGAGGGGAGCAAGGCCCCTGCCCCTAGGTGCAGCTTGCCAGAGAGCAGCGTGTGTGGCTTTGCCAGGAGGATTCTGCCCACACTGCCAAGTGCTGCAGATGCCGAGGCCCCAGGAGCTGTGTGATGAGGGAATGGCATCAGTCACAGAGCTGGAGCCGTGCAAGGGGATGTAGGGGCCCACTGGAGGGAGATGTCACCCCAACCCAGAAAACCGGTGTGCGGGGAGTCTGGGGCCATGGAGGGAGTTCTGGGTAGAGGACAGTCCATATACTCCACGCTGGCTCGGATCAGGCTGCTCCCACCCTCAGGGTCGCCCTTCCCTACCTGTCACTTGGAGAGCAGTAACCCACTTTTCCGAGCCCCACGCAAAGGCACCTCCTCCCAGGAGCCCTCCCAGCTCCGTCCAGGCAGGACTGTGGCTCGGTACCCAGGCACACTTCCGTGGGCACTCACTGTGTTTGCGAGGGGTTTGCTTTTTCTCCCCAGGAAGACGTGGACATTTGTGGATTAATCTGTGGACTCTGGGCACCGGGATGGCCCCTGGCAGGGGAAAAGGGTCTGCAGTCCCTTGCCCTGCAGTGCATGTTTCAGGAGACTGTAAAAGGCCCACAGGGTTAGAAATGGCCTCTGGGTAGGTCAGGCCTTGATGTCCCCAAGCTGGGCTGGGGGGACAATTGGGGAGATGCTGGGGGGACAATTGGGGATTGTTATGGCCTAAAAAACTCTGAGGATGAAAAGGAGGGCACTGAGTGGGTGGTGGGTCGAGCTCCTGCTGTACGCAGTGCAAGGACAGGGTCAAAGGAGCCCTGGGTTAGTTATGGCGATCAGTCGGGAGAGTAAGAAGCCCACCCTACACTGTCACACCTCCCTCCCTCCCCTGAGCCCACCTCCTACAGGTCCAGGGAGCAGGGGTCCCTACGTCCCTGGTTCTGACCTGCTGCCTCTGCTGTGCCCTAGCTGTAGCTCCCGCCTCTCCTTTAAAAAGAAAAAGAAAAAAACTTGTCCGGGCCAAGAGCACTAGAAAATGACAAGTTTGTCTTCTAGTTTTTTGTGGTTTTTTTGTACTGGGGATTGAACTCAGGACCTTGCGTTTGCAAGGCAGGTGGCAGCACCACTGAGCTACATCCCCAGCCCTGTCTTCTAGTATTTTTTAAAAGTCCTCAGCCAGGTGTGGTGGCAGCTGCTTTTGTAATTCCAGCACGCTGAGAGGCTGAGGCAGGAGGATTCCAAAGCTCCAGCCCAACTGGGACAACTTAGTGACTTAGCAAGACCCTGTGTCAAAAAATAAGGCGGGCTGGGATGTAGCTCAGGGTGAAGGCCCTGAGTTCAGTCAATAGTGCACATGCATACACACTCCATTTTCCCTTTCAGGAAAGGTAGCAGCTGCCCAGGGATGACAGGACAGTGTGGTTTCAGCTTGCTGGGGCCCTTTAGTTCCTGGAAGCGCTCTGTCCTAGACTCAATGGCTGGCCACTCTCATCTTATCTCCAGCCCCCAAGGTGTTCTTGGAGGTAGCCCCATAATCCCCTCACTTCTGGGTGTCCCTGGGGCCACTGCTGAGGGGTTCCAGGTGCCTGGTGTGAAAGCTCGGAGAATCTTCCTTACTGACTAAATGCTAGGGATGTAGCCCTGTGATCTGCTTCGCCAAAGGCAGTGACACTGCGCACGTGCTCATGTGTGTGCCTGTCCACATTCTCGGGCCCCTTCCACACCCCGTGGCTCACCTGGCCACAGGACTCGCTCCTCTGCCTAGGCGGGTGCTGGTGGTGGGAGCAATCAGCCATTGTCGCCTGGAAGGGGTATCTGGGCTATGCCTCCCTGCGGTCCAGTAGAAGAGGTTGACATGATTATTATTTTTTTAGAATAACAAAAAATATTTTACTAAAACGTAAGATTTACAAAAGTTTCCAGACAAGCCATACAAAATGGTCACAAGCTTTTTTTGAAGGGGGGAATCTACACTTGACAGTCATCACAGTGTTATTAGTGAAGGCTGTGATGTTTATTGATGTTCCCATTTTGGTTCAATCAACTTGTCCATGTACAGCGTGCTATAAAGTTAGACTTGGCTAAAGAGGGTATTCCAGAGAACTGGTTAGCTGCTTTTTAACCAATGCAATTAGATCACCATAAAAGGTGGGAAAGGAGCCCATAAAATTTTGAAACAACCTTTCCCCTCAAAAAGTAAAATAAAGTAAAGAACATCCATACCCCTGCAGCTAACCCTGACAACTACCTTCCTTCACAGTGTTTATACTGAAGCCATGATGGGGGAAATGCATAAAAGCAGAAGGCCACTGCTTTTAAACGTTTCACAACAATCCAGATGATACTTCTAGCCTCTGTTCATGCTTTACAATAGTGAAGCAGGACAAGAGATAGATTTGCTAATGTGCATTTAATCACCATAGACTGAAAATGTCTGGGCTTTTATTCTGTAAGGTTTCTAAGATGGTGTCCATTAAATGCAAACAAAAAAAGAAGTCTTGGCAGAAGAGAAGTGACACAAACTTGAGGATTGGATTGGCTTAAATATCATTCATGGCCCACGGCCTCGGCCCTGCCCTGGCTGTTTCTGTGGCCTGTGCTTCCTTGGTCTTTCACTGCTCCGCTATACCATTTACTGATGGGTCATCTGGCTCAGGAGCTCTTAACAAGGCCTGGATCCATAGCAGAACTGCAGATCTGCAGTGCTGGGGACCATTGATCTTTCAGAATATCCAAACATATTCTTCCCAACTTGTCTCCGTTAGGATGATAAATTTAGGTCATGAAAAGCACTTTAGGTGCTGACACTGGGTATTCTTCTGGAAGAAATAGTTCAGGTTTAGAAGTCCTCCCTCAAAGGGGGAATCCTGAGGACCAGCAATGACCACATGAAAATATCGGGCGTTGCTCTCAACTGGTTCTGCTTTAATGCTAGGAACTGGTTCTGCCAGAAAACGCTGAGTTTCCTTGATGAACCTGTGAGGCAGCCCGGCCCTCTTGTCAGATCCTGAGTTTGGTCTCTGATCACGTCTCCAGCTCAGCTCACCTCAGGCACGAGTGGTTGACAATTCTTGTACCCATTTAATAGACAAGAAAAGTGAGGCTCGAAGAGAGAAAGGCAGTCCCTCCAGGCCAAAGAACTGACTCAGCCAGGATGTAAAACCAGAGCTTCCTGACTCCCAAACCTGTCGTGTTTTCCCTCCATCCGTTTGTAGCCTTTAACTTCCGCACGAGGAGCAGGAGCTGCAGTGGGCCCCCCTCCCAGCAGGCTTTGCTGGCCGGGGATCCAGAAGAGGCAGGATTGGAAGCTGTGCCTGGGTCACGGGGAAGCATGCTAGGTGATGTCACCTACTCAGGCAGAAGGTTCAGCTTGTCTTTGGCTGTTTTGTCTTTCAGTCCCCAAAATTCCCAGACTCAGAAAACACAGCAAACTCCTTAGAAGAAAAGGTAATGGAAGAATCAACCAGCAGTAAAAAAAAGGAAAAAAGGAAACATGTGGACCACGTAGAAAGCTCCTTATACAGAGCACCTGGAATTGTTCAGTCCTCAGAAGACCTAGAAGACAACATTGGCGACCACAGGGTCCCTTCCAGGTATCTTAGCAATCTCTCTCCAGTGTGTTTTTGTGTTATGCTATAAACAACATGAGATTGGTGGTAGGTTCGAATCCTGACCTTTGATTTTTCAGCCTTTGTCCCAGGCCCCAGAGGCCACATGGTGGGCTTTGAGGAAACAGAGACCTCTCTGCCAGGGTGCACAGCCCCAACACCGAGTTCCCCTGTTGGCAGCCAAACAGGGCTTTCACCTGTACCAGCACCATTAGCTCCCGGAAGTCGGTGGGGTGGGAATGAGGATCCATTTCACAGAGGAGCAAAACTGACTTGAGCTTTCAGTCCTTGGCTGGCATTGCCAGCTGGTCGGCCAGGAAATGTGCCAACCCAGGCTACGTGGCCCCAGTCCTGGGTTTCCAGGGCAGTGACACTCTCCATGTCTGCCTCAAAGATTTGGTCTGGAAATTAGCATCCTGGGGTAGGGAAGGAAGAGCTGGTGCACCCCAGGGCTAGGCATCCTTACGAACACTGGAGCACTAGGCAGGGACAGGCAGCAGCGAGGGCCAGTCTGTCTCTGCGTCTAGTTTAGTGTTTCTAAGCACATCCCAATGAAGTGCACACTTCCTGAATCTGAAGTCGTCACTTCCTAAATCCATATGGGGAAGGCTTGGGTTGGGGGGAACCGTACATCTGAGCTGCCAGGAGCTGGAGGTGGCACCAATTCAAAACATGTCTTTGTTTTTCAGGACTAGTCACAGTGACTCCAGCATTTACATTCGACGTCATACGAATAGATCTGCGGAGTCGGTTAGTATGTGAATTTCTTCTTCCGTTCAGCCCCTGCTAATCAGTTCCTTTGCATCCTTCCTCCTCCCTACCTAGAGCTTTGAAATTACTGATGTGCAGCAACTAGACTTTGGGATAGAAGACAAACACATTGAAACCTTGTCGTTCATCACAATCCAATTGGATATCCAATTAGGGATGTAAATAAAGTGATGATTTCAAAGTCCAAAGGCCTCTTTGTTATAAAAATGCATCCAAGATTCCCCCCTTCACCCTCGTACTCCAACACACACATCTAGAGAAGTCACATTCAAGGATGGGGCACAACATAGAGCATCCTCTTGACATTTGCAAGCCCCCCAGTCCCTGGTGTGCTTGCCCCTGAAGCCTGGCCCCTGCACCACACCCTGCATCTGTGGGATTATAGAGGTGGGTGGTCTGTCCAGTCACCAGCTTGGGGTGGGTAGAGGAATGGCTATTGTTTAGCAGTTTGATTTATCAAGAAAAGCATGGCGTGCTCTCTGCTTTGTGTGTTTAAAATCATCTTATTTTCTGTTTCAGAGATTTCACCTTTACTAATTGGGTGGCGGGGGGTTTGTTTATAAATTTCACTGTAGGACCATATTAGCTTTGTTCAGTTGAGGAATGCAGCAGATGTGGATGACAGAAGAAACCGAATGTTAACCAGGTTGGTAGCTTTGTTCTACTTTAAGTTTTGTGGGGTTTAAAGTTTTTTTGTAATATAGCCTACCATATGGAGGTGATTATTTTTCACCTGGCCTCTGTTTCCCACACTCTTAATACCTTGGGAGAATATAGGCAAATACTTGTTCTAGAGCAAATGAATAGAAATCTAGTATGAGTGCAAGGGGAGAGTGGGTATTTATTAACACTGGCAGAGTACAGATCAGAAGATGAATCTGTGTAGACAGATCTGGGTGTGAGTCCAAGGGTGCAGGTAAGTAGAGCAGTGGCAGGAGAGAGTTATCCAAGGCAGAGCCAGGCAGCAGAGGGAGGGTCTTGTGATACTGGGCGTGTCCTAGAATCCGGTAGCAGCTGACAACCGTGTTCATTCTGTCGCCACTGCAGGTACAATACTCAGAAGCTCATTGAGCTGATTTTACAGTTTTATGGCATCAGAGCAGACATGAAGAGGGAATGCAAACATGCCGGGATGTCTATGAAAGTATTTCCTACTGCTGGAGAACTAGATGGTCTAGTCTGATGTTGCCAAGTTGCTATAAAATAGCCCATTTAGAGCATGGGAAACCAGGAAAATCTCTCAGATTTTGAGATGTCCCCATTCCTGTTAAAGTCATGGAACTCCTTAATTTTTTTTTTTTTTGCCATGAATTTGGATGGACTGGGAAGGATTCAGATCACTGGAATTGGAAACCTGTCTGAATTTTGCCTAACATAGGAGTGTGGGCCTTAGAAATCCACTCCTCTGGCTCCTAAAAGAGAAAGCCAAACTTAAGCTTGCCTCCCCAGCCTGAAATGGAAATACTAATTCAACTAAGTTTTCAACTAAGCCGAACATGTTCATAGGAAAATAATATGTTTAGCTCTTACGAGCTAAAAACATTCAATGTAGACACTGCAGAATTGACAAATGCAGGCATGTTTTCTACATCAAGTATTTATCACCTTTGTTTACATTTTGTCTGTAGACAGTTTTAGGAAAGAGAGATCCTGCTGGTTGGCTGTTACCTGCACATGAATCATTTGATTTGTAGATGCCGCAGTTGTTTAAGCCTGCCCACCCCTCACCTGCCAGGGGTTCGTTCAGGAATGACGCGGTTTGACCTTCTCCTAGTCTCCATCCCTACTCAGAAGTCACCCTAAGGGTCTTGCGCTCCAGGCCTCCCTCCACCACCCCGCCCCTTCCTGCAGCCTCTGCTCGCCCCTGTTCTGTGCGCTGCTGGGTCTGAGGTTGGTGTCCAACACCACACCCATCCCTGTTATCCCCCAGGAGAAAGCAAACTCATTTTAAGCACCCCTCCAGGGGAATAAAAGGAAGATACACTTGACCAAAATCAAATCTCGTAGTTCCCTGGAAGGCAGTATTGCCAGAAACAACACTTAGAGGTAGCTTTCTATATGTCTTTCTGATGGCTGTTTTGAAATGACCGGTCATAGTGGACTCTGTTCCTTTAGATGGCTCACAAAGTCCCCTCCCTGCCTTACGAATCCCTGAGAGCTGGCAGTCTCTGACCCCGCTCACTGTGGTGCGCTCAGAGGCCACTGTGGTGTTACGGTCCTGAAGACCTGGGTCATGTGCCAGCTCTGTCACAAAGTAATTGTGTGGCCTGGCACAAGTCACAGCCCCATGAGCCTAAGTTTGCCTGTCTGTGAAATGGGGCTGACAGCCCCTGTGTGATGCCAGAGATAAACTGGATATGTGGGAAAGCACTCCTTCCTTGAGTCCATGCACGTGCAATGCCTGACCTCCTGGACATGTCAGGGGCCCTCAGCTCTCCTGCCAGGGGGTGAGGATGGAGGACGGGCTGGGACTTTTGTACAGCACGGAGTATGGCTGTCCTGGTTACTTTTCTCATTGCGGAGACACAATACCCAACACCCACAGGTTAAGCAGGAAAGGTTTATTTCACCTCATAGTTTGTAGAGGTTTCAGTCCATAGTTGGCTGGCTCCAAGGCAGGTGGTGTGGCAGAAAAGCATTATAGAAGAGAAATAGTCCATTGCAGGGCAGGGAGGCAGCAGCAGCCTGCCTCTCCCTTTTATCCCTTCCAAGCTACCTAACTTTTTGTGGTGCCACCCACACCCAGGGTGGGCCTTCCCATTATCCACACCCAGAACTGTGCTAAACCAATCAGTGGACTAATTTAGTAATCACACACCCTTAATCCCAGTATCACACTCTTGATCCCAGCATCACACACCCTAGATCCAGCCACCTTCAAAAAGCCCCACCTGTGACCACATGAGGCTTTGGAGGGCATCTAGATGCAAGCCATAAGAGTGGCCCACTCTCCTAGGGACCCCACTAGTAACTGCTGTCCTCTGTCTTCTGTAGGAAGGCCAGTAGCTCTGGAGAAGCTGAGTCGCTGGGGAGCCAGAGCATGCCGAGTGACTCCCTGACACAGCTGGTCCAGCAGCCGGACATGATGTATTTTATCCTCTTCCTCTGGCTCCTGGTCTACTGTCTGCTGCTCTTCCCACAGCTGGATATCAACAGGCTCTGATGCGTGTGTCTGCAGAATAAAAAAAGACAGGACCCTGACCAGGAGTGGGGTCTCTTCACTTCATTTTATTTTTTGTTCTGGATTGGGCCACTTCTGCAGAGAGTTGAAGACCTCCGAGGAGATGTAGGCCCCCTACCCTGTTGTTTGCTTTTTCTCTAGTTTCCTTTTTCCTGCTGAGAGCATGCTTTCTTCTCTGGCTGTGTGCTCCAAATTCAGGTTTGTGGCTGAATCCTTAGGTGGGTTTTGTCCTGTGTGCCTTGCTTGGTTAGATGGTAAGCATCGATACTAAAAGCCAAAACCTGGGGCTTAGCTTATGCACTTGCAGATTTTTAAGGTCCTGGATGAACCTGAGTTGTGGGCCTCTCAGAGGAGGGTCTTCTTGGTGAGAAAGAGCACAGGTACCTCCCGGAGGAGAACTGCCTTATTTTCCTCCAGTTGGGGGTGTTTGTGTGCAGGGACTCGGGGTCCACAGCCCTGTTGCAGTCTGGTGATTGGTTCTATTCACTGGGGCAAAACCTAGCAGCATGGCGCTGAGGACTCCCAGCAAGCACATCCAGGAAAGGAGAATCCAGGGGAGAGAGTGAAGGCTTTGTTGTGAGCCGCAGCACATTGTTTTTTCACCCTAGCTTTTGGGAGGGGTAGCTGGGGCAGGGAGATGCGTTTTTGCTTTGCCTTTGCATTGATTGGATTGAGGTAGCACTGTGATTTGCAAACCTTCTCTACCCATGGAACGCTTCTGTCAAATGAAACCTGAGATGGGCCAGTCTAGACGATGCATTAAAAGCAGAGGTCTGGCTGGCTGGCTGGGGCCAGCCCTGAGACCCCCTCCCATTTGCCGAGCTCCTGTGCAGAGACCCTCAAGGTCCCATAGGGCACTGCAGAAGGCCTGAGCAGCAGCAGAAGGAACAGGGCTCAGAATGAGCCCCCACCGAAGCCAGAGCTGGCAGGGGTCCCGCAGGCTGCTGTTCGAGAGAGCTTTGTGCACAGCAGCCTCAGGATGCCCTCTCAGCACCCACCAGCATCCTTTGCTTTGGTCCTGATGGGTTTCTTGAAAAGGCTTTCTGGAACATGCCCAGGGCAGGCCAAAGGCGCCTCTGCCGCCCTCCGTCTCCCTTCCCTCCACTGCCCTTTCCCTGCTAAGACCCAGGTCAGCAAAGCCTGTGTGTCATTCCTCCTCTCTCCTTTCCCTTCAAAAGCCCGTACAGTGGACCCTTGAGTTGCAACTGGCCTGACATACGAACAACTTGTGTTATGACCGGAATTTTAGTTTTAACTTGCAAACAGAGTCTTGAGTTACAACCTGAATGCCAGCCACTTGTGCTTCCAGATGGTCTCAGATACAGATTTAACTCTTAAAGAGTTCTGGAAGGAACATGACAGCATCCTCTCCTGTGTGGGGTTAACTGAGAAATCCTGGGCCAGTGTCTCTCCGAGGACACTGAGATCTGCCTATATACAGGAGAGAGACTTGAAGGCTGTGTAGAGGAGCCTGAGCCTTCATTGACCAACTTGAGTTACAACCAGCCCTTGAGAATGAGTTGAGTTCGTAAGTCAAGGGTCCACTGTATTAGGCAACCTGTAAAGTTGTAAAGTACTAGGAGAGCCCTCAGGGATCATTCTGTCCAGTTGAACCCAGAGAAGCAAAGCAGGCTGACCAAAGTCACACTGACTTGCCAGGAGTACCCAGGCCGCCTGATGCCCAGTCCAGAGCGTCACATTTAACGGGAGACCTATCACACACATGAATGTCCCCAAAATGATGTCTGCTAGATAAGATACCCTCATTCAAACAAAACCAAAAACTTTTTAGGCCATCTGTCATTCTTTTGCTCTCGTATTTTGTCCACGAAGAAGTTTCCTTTACCTTCAAGCTCATCCCCTGCTCTTGTCTGGAATATTCTCGTCACAAAAGGAAAGAATCTCGTTCCTTCCGAGCAAGCCGATTTCAGACAGTGGGTTTCAGGCTTACAGGGTTCCAGCATGACTGAAACAGTCTAGGAGCAAGCACATTTGAGTCGGTGACAGCCACAATCTGGCCTGTAAACCATCCGATTATAGTCTGCCTCCCCTCCTGGAAAGAACTGCAGCCCTCCAAGGAGAAAGCTGTTGGGAGCTTGGAGCAATTCCATCTGGAAGGCCAGGAGCTCCATAGAAAACGAACTAATTAATGAGCTCCCTGGTATCATCCAAAGCTCCAAGGTACAGGTGATAAAGATTATGTGATATTTTATAGCCCTGGGCACCGTGCAGTCCTTGCCCAGATTAGATGCCAAAGAAGAGCTGACCCAAGTGTGAATCATTTCATTTTATGTGTCTAGACCTTGTTCAGAGAAATCTCCGCAGGCCTCTTCTCTCACCTATTACAACTTGTGATAGTCTTTAAAACAGCTCCTGGCAAGATGCCTGAGAGTCATTTGGTTCTGGTTGGCAGTAAACTGATTTTTTTGAAAGAAAAAACAATTTCATTTGAGCATAGGTTTATATGGAAGAAGTTGAACACAGAAGGCTGCTGGACAAACCAGTCCATTACTTGCTTTTCGTTTGTTTTAAGCCCAGCGTGGTAGCACACACCTATAATCCCACCACAGGATTGTGACTTCAAGGCCAGCTAGGGCTACATAATGAAACTGTCTCGAAAATAAACCAAAATAAAGAAATACTATAAAGTTTTTAATGAGAACTAATAGTCCTCCAAGTCTTTCTCCCTGGAAGTAACCACTTTCATCATTTTTAACTGTTTCTTCTAATATTTACATTTGGATTTGTATGTAACATGCGCATGCTTTATTTTTTTAATTAGCTTAGAAACATCTAGTGACCTGCTCATCCCATAAATGGAGGTTTCGCTCTAACCCATGCCCCACATTTGGGGTGTCAGTCCCTATTCAGTGCTGATACTGCCTTGGGCCCTCTTCACTCCTGTCTTCATATCAAAATTTCTCCTTAATTTAAGATGTCTCTCCCTCTCCCTCCTACCTTTCTCTGCCTCCCTCGACATGTTCTTTAGTAGCCTCAGGAGGCGAACATGGGAAGTAAGTATAGTGATTATCTTGAGATTTTTGCATGATTGAAAATGTCTTTCCGCTACCCTTCCCCAGGTGTGGCTGAGTATAGACCTGCAGGTAGAAAGTAACCTCCTCCCGCCATGGTTGCTGAGATGTCTGATTCCCTTCTAATGCCCGTGCCGCCGTTATATGTGACTTGGGTGTTTTCCTCCTCCCTGAGAACATTTAAGATCTCTTTACTCTTGGTGTTCCCCACTGTGGCGATGGTATTGTAGCCTACTGTTTTACCTTGTGTGGGGCCCCCCTGGGAAACTTCTTAATTTTCTTCTAATTATTTACATTCTTTCATTCCGGGCCACCAGCTTTTTTGTTTCTCCTCTCATTTTTTATCTGCTTTCAGGAAGATTGATTCAGTGTTATCCTCCCTATATGCAGGTTTTATTTAGTTACTACTTTCCAAGGATTTTCCTTCATGTTCACGGGTTTTGTTTCATAGTGTCCTGTGCTGGATCCAGGGCTGCAGGTCTGACCTCTGTGGGTGTTAATGGAGTGTTTGGGGAAGGTCTTTTCTGCTCGATGGCTTGTCTTTGTTTCCACTAAGCCTCCTTTCTCTTGCTGGTCTCCGTTTCTGTCTTTCCTGTAAGCTTTCTTCCAGTGGCTGGGGGTGCTGTGGGTCTGCTCCTGTTGAAGTGTGATGTCACGGGGTGGGGGCTTCTGTAGGTCACCAGGGGGCTGGACTCACCTTTGGAGGACCCTACTGGTCAGTACTTCCACACCTTTTCTCTGGGGCTGATTCCACATCTTCACCGATCTCTCCAGTGCTCGCTGCCCGGGAAAGAGGGACACACCCCGGGCTCCTCTTAGACTATGCAGTACCATTTCAAAAAAGGCTCTCCCACTGGGCAGAAGCCACTCATGAGCACTTGGCTTGACTGGCAGAGGGCACCTTTTGCCTGTTTCTCTGGGCATCTACAGCCTGAGCTACGACAGAGCCCGAGGAGCAGCACAAAGGCCAGATTTTAACTCCTACCTGCCCCCCTGACCAGATGCCTTTGTGCAGTGCCCAGACCCGAGGGCTGTACCCAGAGACCCCGTGTCCACCTGAGTGCCCATGTTGGCTGCTGAGCGGGCCTCTCATTCAGCTGCTCCCGCCTTTGCTGTGTCTGACGACCCCGGTTGGAGCTTTTCGTTCTGCGTGGGATAGGAGCAGAGGGGTCACTGGCTGCATGGGGCAGGAGCCTGTGGCAACAGAAGCTCCATCGTCGTCGTCGTCGTCAGCCTGCGTCTCACCCTGTCTTGGAGGCCACGTGGCATCAGGGTCCCTCCCCCGCTCATTCCGCCATCAGCTCTGCTCCTGCTATAGATGGCTCAGGATCAATGGCCCTCGGTTGCCTTCTTTCCTTCACTTCACCTTCATGACTGTGGCTTTCATTCCTTTGCTCTTCTTTCCGTGGGCTTTCTTGATGGAAGAAGCGAGTCCGGGTACCGTCTTGTTGCATGAATCCCCTTTGAGTTTTCTTGCTGGTGAAACGGGGGCTCGCCACTCTGCTGACTCGTGTGTGAACCTGTCCGGCGCATCCCTGCTGTCCAGCTGTGTGCTCAGGGCCTTTGGGTTACGCTGCACCCATTGCAGGCGAGGTTACCAGTGCAAGTCAGCTTTGCTTGAAGGCCATGATCCAGGTGGTTCTTTTTCTTACGCCCTGGCTTTCTCTCTCCGTACCCCCAGCAGATGAGCACAGCTGTCCTGCAGCCCTTCTATTTAGCAAACAAGTAGTCCGCATTGGTGTTTGCCAGCAACAAACAGGGAGGCTCTCTGTGGGTTGAGGTTTGGAACTTGGGCAAGATTCCCTTTGAGATGTTTGTGCCTTGCCCTGATTGCTGATTACAGGTTGTCAGGGGCTGTGGGCCACACCTGATCTTTATGGGGAGATGTGCTCCTGCCAGGGCTGGGGACCAGAAGGACATCCTCTCTGTCTTGTGGACCATGCCCCCCTTCAGGGCATGTGCTTCTCCATCCTCGGCTTCTCCATAGTGGCCCA